TAAATATATTATAATGAACTAAGTGGTTGTTTAGTTGGCAGAAAATAGAAGGGTAACAAATATTACAGTAAAATTTCTTTCCAGAAAATGATAGTAGACTTGTATCTTACAGAAATAATCTATAAATCTTTCTGTAGCAAATTTGAAAATAGATTTCCTACAATAAAAGTATGAATATCCAAACAATGGATATAAATATCCAAACGACTGCAATAAAAGTATGAATATCCAAACAATGGATATAAATATCCAAACGACTGCTTTAGTGTTACTTCCCTGCAAATGTTGTATTTACAACTCAAACAATGGATATAAATATCCAAACGACTGCTTTAGTGTTACTTCCCTGCAAATGTTGTATTTACAACTACAACATTAATTTCCTGCAAATGGTTTATTTACAATTGCAACATTACTTTCATGAAAATTCTGTATAAACAATTGCAGCATTCCAATCACCCCTAATAGGAAAAGATAAAATATTTACCATGAGATCAAGTTGTTGTTTGTATTACAATCTTGGCATTGACACAAAAAACCAAACGGAAGTTTGTTGCAAGTAAGTATTATTTCTTATTGTACAAATATGACTTTCTTTTAGGTCTTGAAATATCTAAGCTAAACAGTTGGCAGGATGTGTTAAATTTTGGCGGTTCTTTTACGGTGCACGTTAGCAGCCGATTCTTGCGTTGCTAACGTGTGCCCCCGCCATGATTCTTGATGGGAAAAAAGAAGAGAAGAAGTGGGAGTAATATCTTTAGTATTGGATTAAGATCTTCCAATTCTAATCTTGTAACTCCTGAGGATCAATCTGATACCGGCTTTGTTGAAGATGATGAAGAATCTGATCTCAATGCTATGGGGTCAACGGGACCAAAGGGGGAGAAATTGAGGAAATCTATGGCGAAAATCTTAAACTCTTCAAGCTCCATTGTAAATTCCCTTCCTCTGGTCTCTCCTCCGATGGCTGGGGTTAAATCTCGTTTGCTCTGTAAGTCTCTGCCCTCTGAATCTCATAGATCTGGTAGTTTTTCTTGGGCTGATGCAAATGATTCTGAGGAGTTCCTTTTTTCTCAACATCTTTCTGCTAAATCTCCAAGAATCTTGGACTCTAATCTCTTAAATTCAGTATCGGATTCAGAAAAAGTTACGATTCCTTTAGTTTCTGTTGAGAAAATACCTGGTGAAGTCTCTTCAGATGGACAAAATGAATCAAAGAATGATAATACTAACGGAGTTTTTATGGATTTTCCACCCTTGGAGTCTGGAAAAGTCTTCAAAAATTCAGTCCCTGCTAATAGCAATGCCAAGAAAAGCTGGGTTAGTTTCTTTTCTAACAATAGAAAGCTTGGTTGTGGCCTAGATTTGAATTTTGTACCCCCTAATGAAAAAGATACAGTGATTTTTGAGGAGGATGAATGGTATGAAGATGCATCTATTTGGGATTTTGCACTTATTGGTCAAGTACTGGGGATAAATATCAAGTTTAAAGCTATGGAAGCTTTTGTTCAAAAAGTTTGGTCACATTTGGCTTTGCCGGAGATCTGTATTCTTAAACCATGGCTATTTTTATACAAATTCAAAAGCAAAGAAGATATGATGATTATTCTGGACCACTACTTCTTAAACCCTGGTCGATTGATGAAGAGATAGGTAAAAGAAATGACTGCTTATATCCAATGTGGATTCAGTTACCAGGTCTGAGATTAAACCTGTGGAATGCTAAATGTATTAGTAAAATAGCTAGTCTTATTGGCAAACCTATTGCCACTGATAAGCTAACTGCAAGCAGGCAGAGGCTAGAATATGCTAGAGTCCTTGTTGAGGTTAGTGTGCCATCTCCTCTTCCAGATCATATCTCCATTCAGGGACCAAAGGGGAAAAATATTATTCAGAAGGTGATCTATGAATTAAAACCTAGATGGTGTGACTTTTGTAAACAAGTGGGACATGAAACTAACTATTGCAAGAGGAAAACTGGAATACAAAGATGGGTGCCTAAAAGCAAAGTTGTTATCAATGAAAATAAACCTGAGAACAACTTGAACCCACTTGATGAGCATGGTATTGCTCAAATAAAGGCTGTTGATAAAGGAAAAGAGATTATCCATGATTCTGGAAATAATGGTAACAGTATCAATGATTTCCAGCTTGAAAGGTTTTCTGTGCATGTTGTGCATGATGAGAACCTGAATAAGCATAGTAGCAGTATTGTACAGTCTGGTACAAAACTGACTGAAAAGGAGCCTAACTATATGCAACAAGCTCATGTGGTGCATGTTTTAGGAAATGGAGTTGATATACAACAAATAAGCAGCAAGTCTGGTTTACTGCAGGCTGTGCATGTTGAAGAATGTGCACAGCAATCTGAAACTAGTTCAAAGCAAATAATTGGTTCTGGAAAAAATGTTGATAATTCTTGGATACTTGTTCAAGGGTCCAGAGTTAAAAAAAATGCATCTCCATTATTTTCCAGTTGCTTAGATATTGATCCCTCTGTTATTGATAGGAGGGCTATTCTAGATGAATTTGTCTTTTTGGAACATTAGGGGGTTGAATAAATCCTCTAAACAGCTCTTGGTTAAAAAAACTTTGTTGCAATATCATCTTTCTTTCATAGCTCTCCTGGAAACCAAAATAAAATAATCAAAATTATCAAATTCTGCCAAGAGGATTGCAATTGATTGGAAATGGTTGTCAAATGTCAGAAACTCCTCTAAAGCTAGGATTCTTATTTTGTGGGATCATAGAATTCTGGATACTCAGGTTGTAAATATCTCAGACCAGCAAATTACTTGTGCAATTAAATCTCTTGATGGGAGGCTGGATTGTGTCATCTCATCTGTATATGGTTTCAATCAAACGAAGGGCAGAAAAGAATTATGGGCAGATTTAATTCAAATTCAGGAAATAATAGGAAATGTTCCCTGGCTCATCTGTGGGGACTTTAATGCAATGATTGATAAAGATGATAAGCTTGGTGGTGCAGTCCTTTCTGACTCAGATACTAGGGACTTCAACAATTGCATTGAAGACTGTCACTTAGAGGCAGAAGCAAGAGTGTGGAGTAGGCTAGACAGAGCTCTAGTGAATGATCAATGGATTACTGCTTATAATTCAAGTTATGCAGAATATTTGTTACCTCATTTTTCAGACCATTCCCCAGGCCTGATTTCTATCTATGAGGATTGTTTGCAAGGGAAAAAATCATTTAAATTCTTCAAGATGTGGACCAAACATGCTGATTATCTGCCTACTGTTTCTAATGTCTGGGAATCAGATATACAAGGATGCACAATGTACTCTGTATGCACCAAACTCAAAATGTTGAAAGAAGCCTTGAAAGTGCTAAACAAGAGACATTTCTACAATATTAGTGAACAGGTTCAAAGAGCAAAGCTAGTTTTGGAAGATACTCAGGAAAAACTTCAAAATAACCCTCTAGACACTATACTCATCAGGAGAGAAAAAGAAAACCTTTCTTCTTACAACAAATTGCTGGACTGTGAAGTATCATTCTATCAGCAAAAAGCAAGAATAGCTTGGAGTGTGCATGGTGACAGAAGCACAAGTTTTTTTCATGCTGCTGTCAATTAGAACAGACATAACAATAATGTGGGTGTTCTTTATAACAGTAGAGGGGACAGGATTACTGATGGGGGGAGATTGTTAATGAGCTTATTTCTTTTTTTACTAGCCTGTTGGGCACTTCTGTTGCTACTTCTCCCCCTGACAGGAACATTATCAAAACTGGGCCTTGTCTGACTGAAACTCAAGTCAGGGATTTATCTAAACCTGTTTCTAAAGAGGAAATTAAAGAGGCTATCTTCTCCATGTCTGATAACAAAGCACCAGGGCCTGATGGATACAGTGCTTCTTTCTTCAAAACAGCTTGGCCTATCATTGGTGAAGATATTTTAAAATCTATAGGGGATTTCTTCAGAAATGGAAAGATACTGTTCACTATCAATTCCACTTCTATTACCTTGGTTCCTAAGGTACAATGCCCAAAAACTCCTGCAGATTTCAGGCCAATTGCCTGCTGTAATTACCTATACAAATTCATTTCTAAAGTCCTAGCTAACAGGATAAAATCAGTTATGGGCTACCTAGTGGATGAAGCACAAAGTGCTTTTGTCAAAGGTAGACAGATTTCTAGCAATATATCTCTTGCGCATGAACTTATTAAAAGCTATAATAGGAAACATATATCACCAAGAGTTATGCTCAATATTGATATTAAGAAGGCTTTTGACACTATCAGCTAGAGTTTTCTTACTGACATGCTAGAAGGGCTGAATTTCCCTGAGGTCATGATAAACTGGATTAAAACATGTATTTCTACTCCAAAGTACTCAATCTCTCTTAATGGCTCCCTCCATGGGTACTTCAAAGGGAAACGTGGATTGACACAGGGTGACCCCCTCTCTCCTTACCTCTTTATACTGGGAATGGAATACTTTTCTAGGATGTTGAATTCCTTAAAGAATGACAGGCTCTTCAAATTTCACCCAGGATGTAACAAGCTCAAGATTACTCACCTTGTTTTTGTAGATAACCTCCTATTGTTTGCATAAGGTGAAATTTATTATGTGAAAAAGCTGCAACAATGTGTTAAGGTGTTTAGTGCAATATCAGGACTTGTTGCAAACCCTGAAAAAAGTTCTGTGTTTTATGGGGGACTAGAGTTATCTGTAAAAACCTCTATAGCAAATCTTTTGGGCTTTACTGAAGGAGTTTTGACAATCAAATACCTGGGGGTTCCCCTCATTTCTAATAGGTTATCTTTCTTGGACTGCGGGCCTCTCTTCTCTAAAATATCTAGACAATTTAAGAGTTGGATGAACTATAGGAATCTCTCATATGCGGGCAGGCTCCGGATTATTAAAAGTGTCATCTTGGGAGTTCAAATCTATTGGACATCTGCCTATATCCTCCCTGCAAGTGTCCTGCATAAGATTGATGAAATGTGTAGAAACTTTCTATGGGAAAAATAGACCAAGCTCGCAGGAAGCCACCACTAGTTTCATGGGAAAAAGTCTGTCAGGGTAAAAGCAGGGGTGGCTTGGGTATTTTTTCTGCAACACTTTGGAATTTTGCTTCTGCTCTTAGATCTATTTGGTATATTCTTGAAAACAAAGAATCTCTTTGGATCAAATGGGTTCATGAGAGTTATCTCAAACAAGGAAATATCTGGCAAGTTTGTGCTAAGAAGAGTGATTCTTGGTTATGGAAGCAGCTGTTGAAAATGAGAGATAAAGCTCTTGCCTATTGTGGTGGAGTTGGAAAACTAAAAGAACTCATTATCTCTTGCTGTCAGGGTTCAAAAATTAAACTCTCAGCTCTATATGAAGCTCTCGCCCCTGCCGGTAGCAAGGTTTTGTGGTACAAAACAGTTTGGGATAATTTATCTATCCCTAAGCATTCTTTTATTCAATGGTTAGCAATCCAGAACAAGCTGCTAACTCAGGACAGACTTATGAAAAGGGGTATCATCTCTATTAATACATGTAGCCTGTGTCCAGGTTCTTACTTGGAGACTAGAGGTCATTTTTTTTGAGTGCACTTGTTCGTGCAATGTTTAGAATCACATTATGGAATGGTTGAGTTTTGAATGGAGATCATCTGACTGGCAGCAGCTTCAGGTCTCGTTTAAAACTAGACTAAGGAGAAAAGGAGCAAAGCAAAGGATTAAAAGACTAGCTTTGAATGCTACGATATACATCATTTGGAGAGAGAGAAATTCAAGACTTTTTCAGCAGCAAAATAGGAAAGAAGAGCATCTGGTGAGAGTAATAAAGATTGATATAGCAACAATTATCCTTAACAGTACCATACTAAAGAATAGAGATGATTGTCTCTTGATGTTGTAAGGTTTGTTTTTTTTGTATTCTAGTAATCTCAGTTAACAAAAAACTGAGTATCTTGCTGTACATAAAATCTCTTTCACTAGTGAATGAATAAAAATTTTTCATTGACAAAAAAAAAGGAAAAGGCATCTATGAATATACATATCTATGATATACAAAGTATGACCCTTTGCTAGCAACGAACAGGTGTCCCCCTACATGCAACATTCAAACAAAATGACGGTTAAGGCAACCAAGAATCTCGACTTAGATGACACGCCGAGTCGACATCTCCTTAGATTGACTGGAACGGTGGTACTTCTTGGTCCTCTTATAGAAGACGACTCTTTACAAGCCCACTCGACCAGTTGTTTGACACCTTGCAAGTTCGACTCGAGAGACATTACTTCTCAACCAAGCTAAAGGACGACTTCAACATCAAGGGTGAACTGAGAGGTCAGGTCCTGTTGACCTACGACTAGATGTTGAAGTTCCTAACTCCTAATAAAGTCAGAGTTGCTAGGACAACCAGTGAGAGGTCAGGTCCTGTTACCTGCTCTCAAACAAGGGTAAGCGTATGCAAGATGCCTTGCCTATTGAGAAAGCATGCCTCCAAATGAAAAAAGTAACAGAGTAGCAGAGAACAATGCCTATGGAAGAGATCCAGGAGATACTAATCGATCGAGAATGGAAAAAGATGGTCAAAATTGGGTCCAACCTAGTAGAGCCCTTGCGAGGAGCATTGGTGGAATTCTTGCTAGCAAATGCTAATGTGTCTTCCTAGGGGCTAGTAGATATGCTAGGAATTCCTCCTGAGGTAATAAGCCACAAGCTAGCTGTTGACAGGCACACTAAGCCTGTGCGACAGAAGAAGAGACATCTTGGCCCCGAGCGACAGAAGGCGGCTGCTGACAAAGTCGAATGGCTTCTTAGAGCTGGTTTCATTCGGGAAATTCAATACCCGAAGTAGCTGGCCAATGTGGTATTGGTGAAGAAGGCGCTGAACAAGTGGAAGATGTATGTGACCGACCTCAACAAATCTTTCCCCAAGGATAGCTATCCACCACCTCGAATTGATTAGTTGATTGACGAGAGTGCAGGGTACGAACTACTTACTTTCATGGACGCCTTCTCTAGCTACAACCAAATTTTTATAGTAGAACATGACTAGGAGATGACCTCCTTCATCACTGAACAGGGGACCTACTGCTATAATATGATGTTGTTCGGACTGAAGAATGTTAGGGACACTTACCAGAGACTTGTCAATATGGTCTTCAAGCACCAGATCATCCATAATCTGCAAGCTTATGTGGATGACCTGCTGGTGAAATCTAAACAAGTATCGGCCTACATATCAGACCTGGATGAGACCTTCTCCACCCTCCGGTGCTACCGCATGAAGCTAAATCCCACCAAGTGTGACTTTGGGGGTGCAATCGAGAAAGTTCATGGGGTTCATGATCATACGGAGAGGCATAGAGATCAACCCCAAGAAGATAGCCGCCATAGAGTGAATGCCCGAGTCGCGCACCCTGAAGTATATCCAGAAGCTGCATGGGAAGATTCCGGTGATGGGCTGATTCCTCTCCAAATCTACCGAGAGGAGCCTCCTATTCTTCAAAACTTTGAGGGGAATCAAGAACCTAAAGGATAGCATGACTTTGACGGTTGAATGCAGTGTAGCTTTTCAGGAGCTCAAGGCCTACTTGAGTACTAAACTACTACTGAGCTATCCCATAGGTGGGAAACATTGTACTTATATATAGCCATCTCCCCCGAAGTCGTCAGCTCCATCCTTATTCGAGAAGAAAAGAATGTTCAGAAGCCCGTATACTATGTGAGATGAATTCTAAAAATGAACGAGGTCAACTACCCCCTCATAGAGAAGGCTGATTTCGCCCTCAGCACCACTACGAGGAGACTCCGCCCCTACTTCTAGGCCCATGCCATTAACATGTGGACAAGTCTGCCTCTAAAGAAAGCATTGGACAGCCCCACAACCTCCATGAGATTGTCGCATGGGCTGTAGAACTCAGCAAATATAATGTGCGGTTTGAGCCTAGGATGACAATAAAAGCCCATGCATTGGCCAACTTTCTTATCGAGTCGTCTTTGTCAGGCTACGAGCCAGACACTCCCTCACCATCCACTAGCCAAGAACCTCTAGTGCCACCAGCAGTCTAGGCACCTTCCCCACAGATACATCACACTCTGGATTATTATTCATCAGCGTTTGTCTCATGGTGGTTATTGAAGGTGGATGGGTTCTCCAGAGAATTCGATAGTGGAGCAGGAGTGGTCCTGCACAGCCCCGATGGGTCGATGCATGAGCACTCCATTTCTTTTGAATTCTCAACCTCAAATAATGAAACCAAATATGAGGCTCTTCTTGCTAGCCTTTGAATGGCACAAGCGCTGAAGGTAGGGCACCTCAACATATTGGCTGATTCACAGTTGGTTGTGCATCATGTGAATAGGCAATATGCGGCTAATGAAAGTACCCTAATGCCACTAGGAAAGAACTCTAGAGGGGGGAGTGAATAATGTTTATGCTAATCTAATCCGATTTATGCCAAATTAAAAACTTATTAACAAATATCCTAGCAAATGAGATATGAACAATATATGTGCAATGATATACAAGTAACACAAGGGTGAAATAAACATAAACAAGATAAACAAGATAGTGGGCAATATAAAGAAAGAGCTCATGACAAAGGCGATATAAACAATAAGCACGAATATAAATGAACGCCAAAGACAAACACAAACAAATGATATGATCATGGAGTTTGGTCCCCACGACCTACGTTTCCGCTCCTCACCTCGAGGAGATCTCTACTATCATAACCGGGTTTTCTATGCTCACCCGAATAACGTTTACACCTCACACTCGGTTTTCTAGTTCACCGAAAACTTTACAATTCACACTCTTGCAATCACACTTACTACCACCTCAAGTGTTGGTCTCTAGCCCGTATCTCCCTCAAGTGTTAGGAATTACAACCTACCTCTAGGTATTACCACCTACCCCACTCCTCTTGGGACGACCCCGTCTCTCACCACACACTCCTCTCAGTGTACAAGTGTATTACAAAGTGTTCAACATAATTAGGCTCACAATACAAATAAAAATTTTTTTTACAAACCAAACCCTTAAACAAACTTAAAACAAACTTAAACTCTTTTAAAACTTGTTTAAAACTTTTCTTGATTATTACAATAGAGCTGGGTATAAGGGGGTATTTATAGGAAACCCCAAATATCAAGAAACCCCAGCAAAAAGACCAAAAAAGCAAAACATGATAAAGGCTGAAAAAACTAGCCTTTATGCCATCGGTTGACTGACGGCTTCCATAAGTCGACTGATGAGCTGATTGTTAGAGGCATTTTCCAGCTCATTAGTCGACTGACGA